GGCGGGGCTGGTTGAAATCGATCTCAAAGTAAATGTTTCCTCCTGGAGTTTCCGCACTTTCCGTCCGTCTGTTTTTAGGTGGGAGGAAAAGGCACGCACACGCGGATTCGGCTAAACAAAATGTCTCGACGATATCAAACATGATCAGGAAAACCCCTGGTTTAGCATACTGATTTACCCCGATTATTCTCACACAGTGTGGGTCTCTCGGGACAAAATTACAGACTAACGGAGTAAATTTCGTTTAATTTTTACGAATAATTTCTTATCAGTGTAAAAATTCTTCATATACACAAGGAGATGGAAGAAAAACCAGCTCCTTTTCCACATTCGTAAGAACCTCCTCTTTAGGGGCACACCATCTAGGTAAGGGATATTCTGAGTCGCTAGAAAGCCTGCTTTTATATCAACAAATGTAAAGCAAATATTAAAGCAGATTTCCCCACGTCCAAAAGTATCTCTTAAAGATCAATTTCTAAAGCATAGGACTTGGTATCAAGTCCAAGAGAACCTATCCTAAGATCTACAATAATCTAAATTCCCAATCTTTTTATTACTTAAAATTTAACATTCGAATTTTACTGAAAAATTCACCTATCACAAACTCCAACTGAAAATGCGAACTGAGTTTCATAAAATCATTTCAAGAACGATACTTAAGAGAATTTCTGTTTTCCTTCTTTGTACATTTCGGCCGCCAGGGAATATTTAAATAGTCTACCACAAACACACGTATCCCTCTAGGACCGAGTGGACTCTTTCCCAGGGTTACTTAACAAAACAGTACTGCTTCCCGGGTTGATTATTACTACGGATTACATAATACAGAATAGCACCCACTCACGCCAAGAAAACAATCCATGAAATCCCCTGTCATCAGAGAACTAAGAAGTTTTCATTTAAAGTGAAAAAAAAAACATTTTTTTTAATCTCACCACCCTGCATTTATTTTCTGATAGTAAAATGGAAGGAAAATATTGATAAAACCTTCATGAGCTATGGGCTTCCTTCTCAGTTTTGAGGATGCATCTTCGTCCTATGGTTGACATTTATGATGTAAGGTATTAATATCTGGAAAGAAAAGCCGCTGGTGCTAATTATTCAGACCTGCTCTGCCAGTGAACTGTGAGCAACTCGCCTATGTCACTTCCCACCTGTGCATTAAGTCCTTCACTTGACATAGGTGCGCATTATGAGGCACTGCCGGCTTAGCTGTGTAGATTTTGCAAAGCGTCTCTGGATATGTATCAGTAAATCGACCGTGATAGTGTGGCTGGAAAGCAAGCTTCTGGGAAACAAGCCCCAGGAAAGTCTTTGACTTAAGAAATGTGCGGGAGACATTAAAATTATATGGGCAGGCCAGCAGGTGGCATGGTGATTAAGGTGCTGGACTCCCACATGGTTCAAGTCCCGGACCAGGCAGCTTGTTTTCTCACTCCCCCCGCCTCTTTCTGGTGAGCACATGTGTCCTATGGCAAACTTAAAAAATAATAATAAATAAATTTAAATAATTCTTTTAAAATTTCTTTTAAAAGAATTATGTGAGGGAGGAAAAATGCAAATAATGGAACTAACTTTTCTTTACTTAGAAAGGAAAATGTTTGCCTCCTCTTCCAGTTTTTCAGGTTGTTTTTAGTAGTTATTTGTAATAGTAATCTTTTTCTTTTTTTACATTTCTAATCTACAAATGTTTCCTTCCCTGTTCCGCACCTTTAACGCAAAAGTTTTTTTAACATTTACTTAAATGTATTTAAATTATGACAAGATTTTTAATTGACATAAAAACTAAAGTAAATTCAACTTGGTTTTTTTTTGGAGAGGTTTTTCGCTACAGGGCGCGTGCGCTCACCAGACAGACAGAGAGAGACAGAGAGACAGAAAGCGAGAAATCACCCCCCAGAGGGGATGGTCACGCCGCAATCCCTTTTCCTCCATTCTCCTCTCGGGATCTTGGGCACGCACGCACACGTGCCCACCGTGAGTTTTAAGCCACCGGGTCCAGGACGCGAACCACGGTCGACTACGTGGGAGTCCAGCAACATAGCCATTATGCCAACTGCTGGTTCCCCAAGTTTTTTGTTCTATATTCACCAGACACCTTAGTCTTTTAAGAAAAATCACTATGGCTGAACTTCAGAAAGTTTCCTTTTTTTTCTTTTTTAAGATGTTTGCCATAGGACATGTGCATTCACCAGAGAAATAGAGGGACAGTGAGAAATATTCCCCAAGGGGGCATGGCCATGCCACAATCCCTTGTCCTTCACTCTCCTCCTGGGATTTTTAGGTACGCACGCATACATACCAGTGTGATTTTCAAACCGCTCGGTCCAGGACTTGAACCTTGGTCGACCATGTGGGAGTCCAATACCTTAACCACTACACCACCTGCTGACCCTTTCCTTTTTGTTTAATTTTCAAAAGATTTTACTATTTTATTCAAAAAAATGCAGGTAATTAGGAAACAAGCATTTGGGTACCTAATACCAAAATTAACAAATCTTGACATTTTTCATTTTTGACTCAGATTTTTTTTCATAAGTGTAAGAAATTATACATTACAGATAAAGTTTAACTCTTCTTCTTTTCCTGTTTCATTTCCTTCCCTTTCACAAAGACAATTTCTACTGTTGAGTCTTATGGGAATCACTCTAGTTCATTTTAGTTTTTACTTCTACAGTGTTTAAATATGTTTATAGATATATACAGTTACTATCATTTGGGGACGTTTTGTTTTTACTGTGTGTGTGTATGTGTGTGTGGTTAATTGCCAGAGAGCATGTGTGTTCCCCAGAAAGAGAGAATGTGAGAACCCTCTCCAAATGGGGTGGGCTCACACTACAATCCCTTCTCCTCCATTTCTGCATCCTATCGGGATTTGGGACACCCCGCCCCCACCCCCAGGGCCTGGATTTAAACTGCATTCAGCCAGGTGAGATCCTGCTCCCTTAACCACTAGGCTACAGGAGGCCCTAGTTTGTTTGTTTGCTAGAGGGCACATACTCTCACTGGAGAGACAAAGAAACGAGAGAGGTGAAGGAGAAAGCACCCCCCTCCCCATGCAACCACTTCTCCAACTCTCCCGCCTTTGGGGATTATGGGCACACACTCATACACATCTGGTGTATTTCTCAGGTGCCAGGACCCAAATCACAGTTAGCCATGTGGGATCCAGCTGCCTTAACTACCAGGACATAGAGATGGCCCTTTTCTTTTTTTTTTTTTCCTTTTTTTTTTTTTTCTTTTTCAATTCCCATTTATTTTTGGCTCTTTGGGCAATGTCATCTTTTCAATATGAAAAAAAGCAGCAAGTTCAACACAAAATAGGAATCTGAAGTGTAGCACAAAACCAAGGGTGGGAGGGGATAGCCAGAGCAAAAGAAGAGATGTTGCAAAAAGAGGGCGTCCTGCCCCTCCCCCCTGGGCAAGGAGGGACCTTTCAGGGGAAGGATCCCCCTCTCCAGTGTCGTCAGGCATGCTACTCCTTTTCAGGGGAGACGGCCCTTTTCTTAATGTACATAAAAGTATCACATTCTGGGCCGGTTCTAGACAGTGACGGCACTGCTCAAGAGAAGCCAGACCCCACGCGGTTCAGATCCTGGCCCAGTCTGCCTGAAACATGTTGGGCACCTGTGTAAGTGCCCAGGAACTGGTGGGCTGGAGGACTGCAGGAAGGGGTTCAGGACATGGTAGGCCCGGTGGAGGGTGCTTCTCTCTCTCTCTCTCACACACACAGAGACACACACAAACACTGCCACGCGTGTATACACACACTCTATCATGAATAGAGAAAGAAAACCCTACTGGTCCCCAAATCACGTTCTCATTCAACATTACTCTTCGAGGACTTCTCCATGTTTTAACTATTACATAGTATTTCCTTGAATATACATATCACAATTATTTTCTCTTTAAAGTTTACTTATTTCTTCCATGAGCAGAGGGAAAGCGCCTTTTACAGAATCCCTACACTCTGATCCACCCCCACCCCCGCACCCCCACTGCAGCTGCAGCTGGCCTGGATCATGGGCCAGCAGGTGCCCTGTGTACTCAGGGAGGTCTTGACCTTGAGCTTGGAAACTTCCCAGGTGGGTCCACCTCCCAGAGCCCTCAGGTCTTACAGCTGTGCCATGGTCTGACCACCCTCCACACACACCCACACACACACACACACACACACACAGTATCTTTCTTCATTTACCTGCAGATGGGTATCTGGGTTGTTTCAACTATTCAGTGCTACATAAAATATATTCTTGCATGGATCTTCTTGGGCACATGTGCAAGAACGTCTTTAGCACATATGTCCACCTGTGTAAAGGAGAATTACCATGTGCCGAATATCATCAGTTTACACCCTCACTAGTAGCGATAAGGAATCCTTGCCCCACATCCTCACCCACACGAGATCTCGTGGGCAGATTTTCATCATTTTTGCCACGGTGATGGTGTCATTATCACTTACGTTTCCCTGACAATTAAAGAAGTGTCACATTCTCCCAGTCTATTTAACCTAATTTCCTCTCCTGGGGACTTCACCTTTTACCTTTTAAAAAGTTCGCTTCTGTGTTTTCTTTCTCTCCACGTGTGGGTCTTTAGATAATCTACTTTATGCACTTAACTACTACATATCTTGGAAATACCTTCTTTCAGCTTGACCCTTGTTTGTGAAGTTTCGTCTCTAAATTTTAATTTCAATGTATTCAAATGCATTAGTATTTGTTTGATCGCTGGTGTGTATATTTAGTTTAAATCTTTCCTTCTCCTTAGGTCATTAATATTTCCTTTTCTATTTCTTTTCATAGTTTTGTTTTAATTTGCTAGAGGGTATGTGCACTCACCTGAGCGAGAGACACAGAGACAGAGAGAGGGAAAGTGAGAAAGCAGCCCCCATGGGCGTTGGTCACACCATAATCCCTTCTCCTCCATTTCTCCATCCCTTTGGGATTCACACACACACACACACACACACACACACACACACACAATGTTTCTCAAGCCTCTGGATCCGAGACTGGAACCACACTGTCGGCCACATGTGACCCGGCCGCCCCAACCACACTACTGTCTGACCCCTCTTTTCATACTTCCATAGTTTAGTTTCTCCCCCATTCAGCTCTTTTGGAGGCATGGTAACATGATTGAAATTTTATAGAAATCTGTTTACAAAACCTTGCTTAATTCTATTACTCTAACATTTTGCCTGTAGGTTCCTTAGAACTTCTCATTTAGGAAAACTTACATTATACAAACACTAACACTTAATTTTATTTTTCTCTGTGTTTGCCAGAGAAAGACAGAGACATGGACAGAGAGGCAGAGGGAAAAAGGACCCTACCCGAATGAAGTGTGGTCATGCTGCAATCCCTTCTCCTCCATTTCCCCGTCCTGAGGGGGTGTTGGACATGTTCACACACGTGCCTGGTTTGTTTTTCAAGTCACTGGGCGGAGAGTCAGTCCATAAGGTCAGCCATGTGGAATCCAGATCCTTTAACCACTAGGCCACAGGACTGACCCTATTTCATCTTTAGAAAAAATAAACTTTTTTCGATCTTTTTTTTTTTTTCCTACAGGGAACATGCACTCACCGGAGAGAAAGAGACAGAGCGAGAAGGAAAGTGAGAAAGCAAGCTGCTAGGATCAGGCCTCTAGCCACAGTCAGAATGTAGGGAGTCCAGCATCTCAACCACCACTCCAACTACTGCCCTGAGAAAATAAGTCTTTTTTTTTTTTTGGAGAGGTTTTTTTGTTTGTTTGGGGTTTTTTTTGCCATGGGGCGTTTGCGCTCGCCAGACAGACAGAGACAGAGAGACAGAAAGTGAGAAATCAACCCCCAGGGGAGATGGTCACGCCGCAATCTCTTCTCCTCCATTCTCCTCTTGGGATCTTGGGCATGCACGCACATGCACCCGGCATGAGTTTTAAGCCACTGGGTCCAGGACGCGAACCGCAGTCGACTACACGGGAGTCCAGTGACATAGCCATTACGCTAACTGTTGGTCCCGGATGACACCTTTTTTTTTATTTCTTCCATAACAGAGGAAGAGAGGTAGAGAGACGAAACCCTAAGCAGGGTCTTGACAGGGTGATCTTCCACCCCCCAGCCTCTGCCAGACCCAGATCATGGGCACCTGTGTTCCTAGCATATTCAGGAAGGTCTCTAGATTTGAACCTTGAACCTTACCATGTGGGTCAGCCTTGCAGACTTGATTCTAATCGAGGTTCAACCATTTGCTAACAATTTAACTTTGAAAAAGTGACTTAATCTTTATCAACCTCGATTTCACAAAGAGAAAAGGACCTATCTCACAATGTTGCTGTGACGTTTAAATATAGGCGAAATGTTTAGTACAGCGACTAGCACAGGAATGTGCTTGATAAATTGCAACATTATCATTATCATTTAAGGTTTTTGCCATAGGGCGAGTGTGCTTGCCAGAGAGAGAGACTGAGGGAGAAAGTGAGAAATCACCCCCCCAAGGGGGATGACCACACTGTAATCTCGTCTCCATTCTCCTCTTGGGATTTTGGGCATGCAGGCACTCATACCCAGCATGACTTTCAAGTTGCCAAGACTGGGCCTCGAACTATGGTTGGCCATGTGGGAATCTAATGCCTTAACCACTATGTCACCTGCTGGTCCCACAATATTTTAAAACTCTGAATACTATACTAAGTTCATTAGTTGTGTTACATCACAAAAAAAATCTTCATATCTCATAAGAAGGAATCTGGGGGCCGGCAGGTGGTGTAGTGGTTGAGGTACTGGACTCCCACAGTTCAAGTTCCAGACTCAGAGGCTTAGAATTCATGCCCAACACATGTGCGTGCATGCCCCAAATCCCAAGAGGAGAATGGAGAATGAAGAGACTGTGGTGTAGCCATTCCTGGTGGGGGCATGGGGATTTCTCACTGTCTCTCTCCAGCAGGCACACATGCCCTATAGCAAAAATCTATCTTAAAAAATAACTATTGGGTTGTCAGAAAAGTCATGACACATTTTTGAATAGAAAAAAATACAACCCAGTATTAATATATTCCTTTTTTAAAGAATTATTCATTTTTTTTTCTAATTTGACGAGAGAGGAGGGGAAGTGAGAAAGCAAGCTCCTAGGTCCAAGACTCAAACTGTGGTCAGCCATGTGGGAGTCCAGCACCTTAACCACCACGCCACCTGCCGGCCCCATATATCCTCTTTATTAATTCTGATTTCATGTAAGTGTTCAAATATCAAATAGGTCCAATTCTAACTATTAATATGAAGTAAAATAAATTCTAGTGTCTAGGGATCAAGTAACCTTTTCCAATACTCAAAAATATTGTGCTGGAAAAAGTAACTAATATAGTAACTCCATATTGTTTCCTTCATGAGAAACACACCTAACGTTATACATTCCTTTTTTAAAAAATTAATTTTACTATTTCTTAATGTGCTATAGCGTACATGTGCTCAGAGAGAGAGACAGAGAAAGTGTTAGTAAGCAAGCCACCAGGTCTGGGACTCAAACCACAGCCAGCCATGTGGGAGTCCAGCGCCTTAACCACCACACTACCTACTGGCCCCAGTACATTTCCTTATGTAGATAAATTTCAAGATGTATCTCAAACACATTTCTAAAGGTGTAGGTAACTGGAATTCCTGAACAGTAACAAGAAAGGCACATTTTAATCTATGTTTTACTAATGGCATTTCCTTTCTATTTCCAAGAAAACTCCAGAATAGGATTTACTCAAGTCCTTTAAAAGAGAAGAGAAAGAAATTTCAAAATATGTCCAACAGATCTGCTTCGCATTTCTGGAAACCGAAGAGTATCTATCTACACATAACAGTTTAAAAGTTCTGCACATGATTTTGTCCATCTAAACCTTCAGGTCACATGACTAACATTCCAAAAATCAAGACTTTAAAAAAATATATGAACAAAGCATCTGAGTTATAAAAGACTTTAATATCAATCAAAAAACAATGTACATGATTAAAAAGGTTCGATTGCCACGTAACATAGCCTACTTAAAGCATGTAATGAGCTGACGAGACACAGCCTCCACGCTACATCAAATGATTTGATCTCCTCACACTTCCAAAGTGCTGGCCTAAAACCAGACACCCGCCATGACGACAAGCGAGGGGAACACACATGTTCAACACGTTTCTCCCCAGCCATCGTGTCACAGGTCACACTTTCCTTGCTTGTGATCCCAACACCGGCAGCGTTTTCATCTCATCCACTCTGTTCTTATGCATCTGGAAAGCAGGCGTTACCCACCTCCCACACGAGCACTGCTCACCATACCAATTGAAGGAGCCCAACTTGGCACCGCACTTTGGGCAAAGCAGCTGAAAGAGAGCAAATGGGTTATTCCATTAATTCACTTGGATACGGAACACACAATTATCTCTGCAATGTGGAATATGAATACAAGTACGACTTGGTCCCTACCTTCGAGACATTTCTGTCATTAAGTGAGCTAAAATACATCGGAGCTTTACTCTAACAGGTGGTGAACTACGATTACACATGGGAGTCAAGCTGCACTCAGGGAGTTTAGAGAGGGAACCAACGAATTCTAGCTTGAGAGGAAAAAACTGAAGCTTAGAACTCAAAGCCCAGCAGGTGGCAAGGTGGTTAAGGCACTGGACTCCCACATGGGTGACTACGGTTTGAGTCCTGGACCTAGCAGCTTGCTTTCTGATTTTCTTTCCCTCTCTCTCTCTCTCTCTCTCTCTCTGGTGAATTAAAACAATAATAATATGAGACCAAAAGATGGTGTTATGGTTGCATTTTTGGACTCCCACATAGTCAATCCTGGTTCAAGTCCCAGATCTGGCAGCTTAAAATTTACACTGGGTGCATATGCGTGCATGCCATGACCAAATTCCTGAGATGAGAAGGGAGGAGAAGGGATTGTGGCATGGCCATCTCTCCTGGGGGTGATTTCTCATTTTCTGTCTCTCTGTCTCTCCAGTGACCATACACACCCTATAGCAAAAAAAAAAATCAGCTGAAAGAGAGCAAATGGGTTATTCCATTAATTCACTTGGATACGGAACACACAATTATCTCTGCAATGTGGAATATGAATACAAGTACGACTTGGTCCCTACCTTCGAGACATTTCTGTCATTAAGTGAGCTAAAATACATCGGAGCTTTACTCTAACAGGTGGTGAACTACGATTACACATGGGAGTCAAGCTGCACTCAGGGAGTTTAGAGAGGGAACCAACGAATTCTAGCTTGAGAGGAAAAAACTGAAGCTTAGAACTCAAAGCCCAGCAGGTGGCAAGGTGGTTAAGGCACTGGACTCCCACATGGGTGACTACGGTTTGAGTCCTGGACCTAGCAGCTTGCTTTCTGATTTTCTTTCCCTCTCTCTCTCTCTCTCTCTCTCTGGTGAATTAAAACAATAATAATATGAGACCAAAAGATGGTGTTATGGTTGCATTTTTGGACTCCCACATAGTCAATCCTGGTTCAAGTCCCAGATCTGGCAGCTTAAAATTTACACTGGGTGCATATGCGTGCATGCCATGACCAAATTCCTGAGATGAGAAGGGAGGAGAAGGGATTGTGGCATGGCCATCTCTCCTGGGGGTGATTTCTCATTTTCTGTCTCTCTGTCTCTCCAGTGACCATACACACCCTATAGCAAAAAAAAAAATCTCTCCTAAAAATATAAATAAAATTAAGTAAATAATTCTTTATAAACTCAATTAAGGAAGGCTTTATGGATGTGGCATACACATATGGCTTCTATTTATTTATTTTAAATTAAGGATTATTTTTGGACCAGTAGTTGGTGTAATGGCTATGTCGCTGGACTGCCAAGTAGTTGATTGTGGTTCGAGTCCCAGACCCAGTGGCTTAAACTCACACTGGGCGTGTGTGCGTGCGTGCCCAAGATCCCGAGAGGAGAATGGAGGAGAAGGGATTGTGGCATGGCCAAACCCCAGGGGGTAATTTCTCACTTTTGGTCTCTCTGTCTCTGTCTTTCGGGCGAGCGCACGTGCCCTATAGCAAAAACCTCTCAAAAAAATTATTTATTTTATTTTTATTTATTATTATTATTTTAAATTTTGCTATAGGGCACATGCACTCACCACAGAAAGACAGAGCCAGAGCCAGAGCCAGAGAGAAAGTGAGAAAGCAAGTCACCAGACTTGGGACTTAAATAGCAGTCAGCCAGGTGGGAGTCCAGCACCTTAACCACTATGCCACCTGCTGGCCCAAGGTAGTTTTTTATTTGTAATTTTGTGCTATAGAAAATCTGAACGTAAAACTCAGAATCCATAAATGAAAAAAATTAAATCTATTTTTACATAAATATCTTGAATTTTCTTTTTTTATGCCAGAGGGAGTGTGCATGTATGAGAGAGAAAAAGAGAAAGCAGCCTGTCATGGGAGACAGAAAGTGAGAAATCACCCTCCAGGGGGGTTGGCCACGCTGCAACCCCTTCTCTTCCATTCTCCTCTCGGGACCTTAGACATGCTCACACACACACTCGGTGTGAGTTTAAGCCATCGGGTCCGGGATTCGATTCGTGGTCGACTACATGGAAGTCCAGTGACAGCCATTATGCTATCTGCTGGTACCCAAAATAATTATTTTAAAAAAAATTCTTTTAATTGCCAACTGACAAGTGTACTTGCCAAAAAGACAGGGAAGGAGAGAGAGAGCACCCACCAATCCCCTCTCCTGTTTCTCCATTTTATCAGATGCACTATGCACAGACATGCACCCAGCAAGTTTTCCAACTTCTAAGGCCAAGATTTGAATCACGATCGGCCATATGGGATCAGGCTCCCTTAACCGCTAGGCTATAGACCAGCCTAAAACCATTACTAAGGGAACAACAGATGGTGTAATGGTTACATTGCTGGACTCCCACATAGTAGACCACAGTTTGAGTCCCAGACGCAGCAGCTTAATCTCAACACTGGGCATGTGTGCCCAAGATCCCAACAGGAGAATGGAGGAGAAGGGATTGCCGGAGAGACAGCGAGAAATCACCCCTCCAGGGGGAGTGCCCTTGCCCTCCATTCTCCATGCCACGGGCTGGCCCCAATACAGAACTTATTAAAATACTATATAAATTATTATAACATATGCTAATATCACTTAAAAGTCATTATTAACATTATTGATTATAGGGGCCAGCAGGTGGCATGGTAGTTAAGGTGCTGGAATCTCACATGGCCGATCACAGTTCAAGTCCCAGACCTGGCTGCTTGAAAATCACACCAGATTCGTGTACATGGGTGCCCAAAACCCCAGGAGGAAAAAGGAGGAGAAGGGATTGCTGGGTGGCCATCCCCCAAGGGGTTGATTTCTCACTTTCCCTCTCACTGTCTCTGTCTCTCTCTGGCAAGTACAGGCGCCCTATGGCAAAAACCTTAAAAACAAAAAAGATTTATTACAGAATACGTTCAGATTAATATCATATAAACCTGGAAAAACATGGTGTCACAGGATATTCAATAAGTTGCAGTCTTCAACAATGAAAAAGAATCTTATAGCAAATATACTTAGATTAGGAAAAAGAGAGAGATACATGAAGCCAACAGAGAAAAAGAAAGGGAAGAAATTTTAAGCCTCATTTTAATATCCTTAGTTTACCCTCCTCGCTATGAAGTTCAAATCTTGTTAAATTTTAATTAAAAACATAGGTTTGAATATACGATACCACTTTTGGCACCCTATATTCTAATCCTAATTTAAAAATAAATGTTAATTTTATATTTAAAAATAAATACAAATAGCCTTAAAAGGGATTTATTAACTTAGACCAGTGGTTCTTAACAAAAAATGCTTTACTCTTTTAGATCTAGTAGTTAAAGAAAATACACTTTTTTAATGATAGAGAGCACTTGTACACAAATAAGAGACAGAGGAAAGAGAGGAGGAGGAGAGCAACCTTGTAGGATCATTCCGTGATCCCCTCTCCTAGCCCTCCAGCTTCTCAGCACCCTGGGTACCACACGCGCCTCTCATGTTTTCAAGCAATCCCACTGCCAGCCATACAGCTTCCGGCCTTGCAGGGCACTTGTATTACTGCTAAGCCATAGCAGCTGAACTAAAAACAAACCAAAAAACCCTCTAATTTTGATAGTCTTATCTATATTATTAATAGGAAGACATAATCTTTGGGCAAAACAAACTTAAAATGGAGTAAAACACCAGTAATATGGCTTAACAGTGTAAGAAGGAATAAAATATATAGACAATATGGTAACACTGTAGAAAATAAAATGTGTTCGCACCTGTCCATCCATCACTCCTAACAAGGTGGATTCCATCCACTGTACGGGTTCAATGAAATAAGATGTACACTGAGCCGGACTCCCTCTGGTAGGCATGAGAGCTGGTGTCACTCTCTTGTGGGCAAAGGCTATTGGCCCATTTCCTTCATTATGATACAGAATACTAGAACTTCGAAATAAGGATCGCCTGCAATCTCCAAGCAAACAAAAAACATTAGTAACTGGCAAAGGAAGAGAAGCAGAGGTGCAGTGTATGATACTTCTTTAACAAAATAATGAAACACTGATCACGTTCCCTAAATTTTCAATAACCCCTACTATCTGATTACTTTTAAGAATGTGTCTTCTTGAAAGCAGATTTGAATTAAAATTTTTATACTATCCAGTTAAACATATCTTTCTACAGAGGGAACCAGCAGTTAGCGAAATGGCTATGTCGCTGGACTCCCACGTAGTCGACCGCAGTTCGCGTCCTGGACCCAGTGGCTTAAAACTCACGCTGAGCGTGTGTGCGTGCGTGCCCAAGATCCCAAGAGGAGAATGGAGGAGAAGGGATTGCGGCGTGACCATCCCCCCTGGGGGGTGATTTCTCGCTTTCTGTCTCTATGTCTCTCTCTGTCTATCTGGCGAGCGCACGCGCCCTACAGTGAAAATCTCAAAAAAAAAAAAAAAAAACACATATCTTTCTACAGAGATATAAGAAAAGAAAGCTTTAAGTACTGAAATAAGATAAAAATCTCCAGAGGATACAAAATATTTACCTGCACTTTCTACATTTGTAGAGAACCTCATCTTTGGATCCTTGTGAAATGGTGGTTGGGTCAACAGCAAAAAGCTCTTGAGGTAAATTCTGTAATTCTAAATGACATAATTAAAATATGTGCATGTGTTGGGGCCAGCAGGTGGCATGGTAGTTAAGGCGCTGGACTCCCACATGGCTAACCACAGTTTGAGTCCTGGATCTGGTGGCTTGCTTTCTCATCTCCCTTTCTCTCTGTCATTCTTTAATCAAAATTGGAGAAGAATAATACATTAAATTAAAAATAAACCTTTTTTAAAAAGTATCCATTTGTCAAAATCAACTTGCTACACTTTCAAATAAAATTCAATTAATGTCAAATTGAGGCAACAAGTGATACTTGCAAAAATTAAATAATCAAAACAAAAACAAGCAAACAAATAAACTCCAGTGTAGGAAAATCAGGGTGAGTAGAAAAGCAGTGATTAATCAATTGGGTTCTGGCAAAGACTGAGTTCAAATCCCACCTCTATCATTCAAAAACTACGTGACTGTAAGTTATTTCTGGCCCACCCACAATTCCAGAAGGAAACGATACTGCCTGCCTCACATTGCTGGAACAGCGAGGCAATGGCTATAGCGGCAGTAATGACATCCTGAAAGAGCCCCACACGTGCGAACAACAATTATTTCTTACCTGGGTACTTCTCCGTAACCTTCTGTAAACGATACTGCTTATAAATTGCACTAGAGGTATCTACTTCACAGCCCATGGCCTGGTATAATTTCAGTTGCCACTGAAACCCCTCATTCATCCTGGAACGACAAAGCAATACAAAGCTCCGTTTTCTTCAATAAAATCACATCACAGAAGCAGAATCACTACTGTAACACAGACTCACTTCGCTTCTGGTTGGACAGTCTGGAGGTTCTCATAGGCTGTTTCAAAGGTAAGCTGGTCAGTCTTCATCAGAAAAGCAGTCACTACTGCAACACTTCGACTCACTCCTGCATGACTGAAAAAGAAACCTTCAAAATAAAATAGCAAATAGCCAGTAATTAAAAACAAAAGCCAACCCCATATTTTTAAAGCCTTTAACAGTTAAATCTCTTTTAGTTTATTTATCTCTTCTATGATCAAGAGAGACAGAGAGGCACCCCCAACTGCATCCAGCCCGGGCTTCAGGCAGCCCTGGGATCAACGGCACATGCACACGGGCGTGTCCAGGGAAGTCTCCAGAACCTTCCCATGAGGGCCAGCCTCACAGAGCTTCCCACTTCACCGCCTGCCATGCCACCGACCAGTCTCCAGCTCTATTAAAGGAAAACTTCAGGGGCACTTTTTTCCTACCTTACTCAAGATAAACCCATTGCCTCTGAAATAATGCCAAGGGACAAAAGAATTATTCCACTTATTTCCACGTTCCTTTTGAATTCTAATTCATATAAATGTATTACATATTCCAAAAAATATTAACTTAGTGAAGCTTTGTAACAAATTCAAACTCCTCTGCTCTTAGCACTCAGGGCCTTGGGATCTGGTCCCAGACTACTCTGATGTTACCACCACCTTATATCCTTTGTGTGAACATATTTATGTCCTGGTGTCTGAGACTGACCTTCACAAAGATGTTCATTTTCTTAATGAAAACTTACATCAGACCCCCTTTTTCTTAAAGAATTATTCAATTTTATTTATTCGTCCATTTATTTTTAATTTGACAGAGACAAAGTGAACACCACGCCACCGCTGGTCCCCACCAGGCCCCTTTAAAGCTAGCCACAAATCTTGCTGACAAAGAAGAGCAAACCATTATCTTACCAAAAACCTACTCTAGATAACTTATGCTAATGAACCTTTACTCAATCCTTTCTCCCATAGCTCCAAGACGGTGTTGTTATCTTTGACCAATAGGAACTCTTTTTAAACCTAACTTTTAAGTTTAAAAGCCTACTTTGCCAGGGCTGGCAGATAGCAGATTGCGTGGTAGTTAATGGCACTGAACTCCCACGTGGCTGTCCCTGGTTTGAGTCCTGAACATTGTGGCTTGCTTTCCCACTTTCCCTCTCTCTTTCTCTGTTTCTCTCTGAGAAAACTGGAAAATAATAAAAATAATAAAGTTAAATAATTCTTAAAAAAAAAAAAAAAAAAAGCTTGCTTTGGACTGTCAGAGTCTAGCAGGGAGCCAGATTCCACATGGCCCGACCTGGTTGAGATTCTGAACCCAGTGGATTTAAGAATGCATGTGTGGGGAACCAGCAGTTAGTGTAATGGCTATGTCGCTGGACTCCCACGGATTGCGGCGTGACCATCCCCCCTGGGGGGTGATTTCTCGCTTTCTGTCTCTATGTCTCTCTCTGTCTTTATGGCGAGCGCACACGCCCTATAGCAAAAACCTCTCCAAAAAAAAAAGAATGCATGTGTGAGTGTGGAAAAACGGAAAACTGCAGAACAGCGTGACCACGCCCTGTGGGTGAAGGTGCTCTCTCTCTGCCCCTCTCTCTCATCAGTACATGCGCCTTCCGGCAATTATAAAAGAAAACTATAAAAAAGAAGCTTGCTTCTTCAGAACAGATGGACGTTTGTCACTCTCCTGCTGGTGGGACTCTAGCTATAGGCTCCAAGGTTTGACTCTTATAAAGACCAATAAACTCCTTTTTCTTTATAACTTACTTTGCTGTTGGCCTTTTTCTTTGGACAGCTGCAACTTACCCCAAGGAAGGGGTAAGGAAGGTACAAGGATCCTTTAGATCCTAACCAATTCTCATCTTCACACACCCGCCCACCACCAACGGAAACATTTAAAAAAATAATAATAACCTCTTGTGAAATTTACAAAACCTTAGCTTTTGTTAGTACACACCGCCCATCCTAGTCTGCACTGCAATCGGAATAGGTATATGGCCCCAATGACAGAGTTGTAAACTCTTTAGGGTGTAGGGGCTTTGTCATTTGACTGATGACAACCGCCCCCACCCCCAGCACGCACACACACACCCAAAAAACAAAACAAAATAAAACAAAATACAACTCGGCAGCTGCAGCATGAACCAACCATAGCATCGCAACGCGCTGCACGCCCCCGGGCCCGCCCCAGCCCCGCTCCTCTCGGGCTCCCGCCTCCCGCAGGAGGGAGCCCCGTGGTCTGACCGGCCCCGGCTCCGCTCCTGGGCGCCTCGGAGCGGAAGGGGTGACCCGACCGGGGTGGAAGCCAGACCGGGCGCTGCCCCGCGACCCGGGCACTCACCAGTGCACCAGCACCGCCCGGCCTTCGGCGCGGGCCTGGCCGACGAAGGCCACGCACCGGTCCAGGTGGCTGAGCAGGTCGGTCTCGGGCGTGTCCAGCACGGGCACGAAGAGCCTCCGCAGACCCTCGACCCCAGGCCCCGCCTTGAAGGCCGGCTCCTCGGAGTCCACCGTCAGCACCGCGGTGATCCCTGCCTCCCGCAGGTGCTCCAGCTCCGCGACGGCCCTGGCCCCACCCAGATACAGCCCTGGCCGCACTTCCAGCATCTGCTGGGCAGAGCAGGTCGCGCTCGCGCTCGGGTTCCCGAGCTCGCAGCCATGGTTCGAGCCCTGAGCTTCCAACATGGCGGCGCCCACAGAGCAGGCTGCTGCGGGCCTTACCATCGAGTGAGCGGCCGGCTAGAACGTCTCTCCTCTTGGGCTTGCAGCCCTCAGCGGCTCAGCAGCGCTCTGGGAGGACCACGGCGATCGCAGGAATGTGCACTTGGGGAAGGTGATGTCACCGTCCTAAGGCAAAGCTAAACCCTATTTGGAGCGCGCTCTCGCCGGCTCTGCAGGTGGCAGTAGAGGATAAACTTCGCCACTTAACGGGTTTCTACGGCTTTCAGTGTGGGGACTTCCAGGGAAGGGGTGTGGCGAAGGAACGACTGGATGAAGGTGCCACCTACTGAATCAGCAGCACCGTGTCATGCATTTGAAGTAAAATGTGTTTCAGTGCTTACGAAGCCATTTGTATTTCTCTTATGACCATTTTTTTCTATCCCTTCCCGCCAATATTTTATTTGGATTTGAATCCTTATCAATGTTCACTGTTCTATAATATTTTGAAGATATTCATCTTGTTCTTTCTTAGTCAACATCCTCCTGCCAAAGAACTCCAAAAACCCACCTGTAGTTTTAAAAAGTTGGTTTTATTACCCAACCACGAGCTACAGAGATTTCAGGGCATTTCACCAAGAGGGTAAGTAAAAAGATCTTATTGTAGGATTTGAGCTTTTATTAGATGATTTTAGAGAGGATTTAAGGAAGCAGGGATTTGGATTAGGTTAGATGATGTCAGGAAGTGGGAGTTATTCTATGATTGGGTATCTTAATAAATCTAATTTATAAGGAGGACAGGCTAGAAAAATAGTAAGGCTGTAATTGGTCAAGAAATAGCATGTATGATACTGGCATAAAGACAAATTCATAGACCAAAGGACAAGCATAAAGAGCTCAAAAATAAACCCCTGAATATATGTGTTCAGAAGATCTTCCAACAAGGGTGCCAAGACACACAATGTGGAAAGGACAGTCTCCTCGATGAATCATGCTGGGAAATTGGATATCCACATGCAAAGAGATGAAGTCGGGACCCAGTCTCTGTGGCACAGTTACAGCATACAGAACTGCAATGCTGGAAGCCTTATGACCAACCACAGCTGAGGTTCCCAAGTCAACCTGTAAACATACCAGATGCACACATGCCCAAGATCCCAACAAGCAGGAGGGCTAGAGGAAGGGCATTGTAATATGACAAGACTCTTGTTGAGGGTGCCTGTTTCTGTCTCATAAAATAAGACACTTTTTAAAAAAGAGAGAGAAGAAGAAATTGGCTTACATCATATACTAAAAATAACTCAAGGTGGATTATAGACCTAAAAATGTAAAACTCCTAGAAGGCCAGCAGGTGGTATAGTGGTTTAGGCATTGGATCCCACGTGACCAGCTCTACAGTTTGCCTGCTGGACCTTTGGGGTTTGAAAAACATGCTGGGTGCATGTGCATGTGCATGTGTGCCCAAGATCCTGAGAGAAGTATAGAAATATCAAGAAGGGGTTGTGGCATGGCCATCTCCCCTGGGGGGCGATTTTTCACTTTCTCTCTGGAGAGCATATGCACCTATGACAAAAATCTTAAAAAAAAAAAAAAAAAAAATTCCTGCAAGAAAACATAGTAGAGAAGCTTCATAGCATTGGATTTGGCAGTGATTTCTTGGATATGATCTCAAAAGCACAGGCAACAAAAGCGAAAATAAAGGGACCAGCAGTTAGCGTAATGACTATGTCGCTGGGCTCCCATGTAGTTGATTGTGGTTTGAATCCTGGACCCAGTGGCTTAAACTCACACTGGGCACATGTGCATGCATGCCCAAGATCTCTAGAGGAGAATGGAGGAGAAGGGATTGCGGCGTGGCCTTCCCCCCTGGGGGAGTGATTTCTTGCTTTCTTGACTCCCTGTCTCTCTCTGTCTTTCTGGCGAGTGCACATGTCCTATAGCAAAAACCCCTTTTAAAAAAAGCAAAAAGAGAGAAATAGGACTGTATTGAACGTAAAAACTAGTACACATCAAAGGAAATAATCAGTGGAGTGATGATTAGACAACCTATGGAGCCAACTAATTGTGTGATGGTTAAGGCAACTGGATTCCAAATGACCAACTACGCAGTTCAAGTCCTGGGCCCTGTGGCTTGAGAAACACTGGCTCCGTGGTTCAAGTCTTGGACCTGGCAGCTTGAAAAACACATCTGGCATGTGATCGATCATACATGCCCCAAATCCAAGAGAGAATGGAGGAGAAGGAATTGCAGTATGGTCATCCTCCCTGGGAGTGTTTCTTTCTCTCTCTCTCTCTCTCTCTCTCCCTCCACATTCCTCCCCATTCCTTTCTCTCCATCCCTCTCTCCCCAATGAGTGCATGTGCCCTATTGCAGATTAAAAACAACAAACAAGCAGCAGGTGGCATGGTGGTTAAGGCGCTAGACTCCCTCATGGCCAACCATAGTTTGAGGACTGGGTCTGGTAGCTTACTTTCCCTTTCTTTCTGGTCAAATTTTTAAAAATAATAAATAATAATAGTAGATTAAATGAAATAAATCTTTAAAAAGCAAACAACAGAACACAGAAAAAGAACAAACATTGACAAGGATGTGGAGAAATTATAACACTTGTGCATTTCTGGTAGGAATGGGAAATGGTGCAACCATATGGAGGATCTTCAAAAAAAAACTAAAAATGTAATAACTATATGATCCACCAATCTCACATCAAGATATATACCCAAAATAATCAAAAGCAGAATCTCAAAGAGATATTTGCAAACCCAGGTTCATTGCACTATTTACAATAGCAAATAAGTGGAAGCAACTCTGTGTTTATTGAGAGATGAATGGATAAAGAAAATGTGGTATATACATACAGTTAATATTGAATACTATTCAATCTTATAAAAAAGAGTATCTTGTCATATCTATAATATGATGAACTATAAAGACATGCTGAACTAAATAAGCCAGTCACAAGAGGACAAATACATGCTTCCACTCATCTGAGACACCTAGTCAGAAACATGGAAACAGAAGGTCATTGCCAGAGGCGGGGAGCATTGGGAGTTGTTCGATAGCTATGGAGTTTCCATTTTTGAAAGATAAAAATAGTTCTAGACATCTGTTACACAACAGTGTAAATAAAGTCAACACCACCAAACCGTACACTTGAAAATGGCTAGAGCAGATTTCTATTGTGTGTGTGTTATCACATTCCAAAGATGACGTAGCAGTCAGCCATTGTGGCCAGGGTGCTGGGACCTGCTTGGCTGCACATGTTTTTCTGAGTGGGGAAGGCTGTGGGTTAGAAATAAATGCAATGACAAACACAAAAAAACACACAAGTATAGAAAAGTGAGAATTGGGTGGGCCCAGCTTCTCGGATGGAGAAAGCCAGGACCCCAACTGGCCTCAGGTTTATTCTTTTAAAGGGCAGAAAACGGGGGAAGAGGAAATGGAATGCAAAGAGAATGGGGGAAAAGGGAATGGAACGCAAGGCCAGTTGTTTTTGGATGTCAATCGTCTGAAGATGCGAAGATGACCATGTAATTTCTCTGATCATTTTGGGGCAAAATCTGATAAGGAGATGTGGCTTTCTTTAGCCTCATGCTGCCCTGCAATATTGGGTATGGATATTGACAACAGGAAGATAACCGATGACCACAGGCAGATAACGTATTCATATGTAAATGCTCTCGTAGCCATTGCTAAAGAAGCGCAGGGAAGCACATTTCTGCATGCGTCTAAGGTCAGGTTTCTCAGATTGGCCGCCCTCTACACCAGGGCAGGGGTAAGTTTGGTTTTTGTGTTGAGACAACAGTCGTCTGTTAAACAGAGTGGTCTTGGTCTCAGGACTGCTGCATCATGGTCGCACAGTAGAATCATCTGATGTTGATGGTCCATGAAGTCATTTGTGTTCAACTGCAGAACGCGGAGCTGAGCCTGGCCTTCTGTAGCAACATCTTGGAAGACCTGGTTCATAGCACCTGGTCAGCTCATAGATGGCAGGGTCTGATTTTCTCTTTATCATGTATGTTTTTACCGTTTTCAAAGAGTGTTCTTAGAGACTCAGGGCAGAAACACTTGAGCCTCACCCAAGTCAAAGAGAGGAAGAAGCCAATGCATCCAAGTGGGAGCTCAGTCCCTGGAAGTAGATAGCCTGCAAGGACAAAGGAATGGCATCCCCCCACCTCCACCACAGGCTGTAGACTCCTTGAGGGTAAAGACTTTACATTTTGGGGAGCCAATAGGTGGCATGGTGGTTAGGTCCTAGATACTACATGGTTAATCACAGGGTTCGAGTCCTGGACCTGGCAGCCTAAAAATCACACTGGATGCGTGTGCATGTGTCCCAGAATCCCAGGAGGAGAATGGAAGAAAAGGGATTACGGCATCCCCAGGCGGATGATTTCTCACTTTCCCTCTCACGGTCTCTCTCTGTCTTGCTCAGTTGATTTCATGCACCCTTTGGCAAAAACCTAAAAATTTTCTAAGTTCCCAGCACAGAATGTGTGCTCCCTGGGAGAAAGGGGACTGATGAGAAAGCACCGCTTCCATAGGAAATGGTCACGCTGCAATCCATTCCATTTCTGCCTCCTTTGCGGATTTTTGGGCACTCAAGCACACTCACCTGGTGTGTTTTTCAAGCCGTTGGATCCAGGACTTGAACCACAAGACTGGCTGTGTGGGGTCCTGTCACTTTAACCACATGGCACCAGCTGACCTGGACTTTGGCTTTTCATCTTTGTGTCCCCCACAGAATCTGGGCTAATGTTGGTGATCTGTCTTTCTTTGTGAATGTCATAAATGGAAGAGGGAAATGCCAGAAGGGACACTGGGCTCTTTCCTCTCAACCCTACGTCTTCCTCATCCCAAAGGCTTAACCAAAGGTTCACTAGCATTTTTGTCTGGAAAGTCACTCAGCAGTCTTCCAAACCAGTGGTTATATTAACCCAATCTCTCCTACTTTGAAATCTGAAATATTTACTATGTATCAGGCACGAAGGGAGATGCTGAGGCGATGGTCTTCACCCTAAAGGAGTTTGGAGAAAAGCCGGAGTGAAAGCTAAATAAATAGCTTAATTCCTGTTATTAAAGAGGCAAGGGCAAGGTGCTGAGGGGACATAGGGGGGACATTCAACCCTAAGGGAAGGGTAATCAGGGATGACTTCCTGGTGGAAGCAATCCTCGATCTATGTCTTAAAGGATGAGTGAGAGTTTGTCAGGCAAATATTGGAGGAAAGTGAGGAAATAAGTTCTAAGCAGAAGGACTAGCATCTATAAAAGCTCAAAGGCCATGGGGCCAGTAGTTAGTGTAATGGCTATGTCGCTGGACTCCCATATAGTCGACCACGGTTCGAGTCCCAGACCCAGTGGCTTAAAACTCATGCTGGGCGCGTGTGCGTG